GAAGAACCAGAATCCCATCCAGGGGTGAGTGGCAAGTCAGTCTTGATTGCTAGGACAAGCTCTGGCAGTATGGGCCACTCGCCCCATGAATAGACCACAGAGTTTGTTTTACAGGTAAAGGCTAGCAGTTTCAAGCAACTAAACTAGCATATATGTGTAATCCATTTTTCATGGGTAAACAGCCTGGCTTATGTTTGAACTTGAACTTTAATATAGCCTGGCTTATGTTACAAAGCCCAACAATTCATATTTTGAGACACAACGTTGTCAAAATATGATCTGCATTCCTATTTGTCGTTTTGTTTCACAGCTATTGTAGGGCTATAAAAATTGTCACCTATCACCTCCTCTCTAAAGTTCGCTCGAATTGTAAGTCGCTTTACCAGTCAGAGAGATAAAAAACATATTTACACTGTACCTGGAGGAAAGTTCTTCCCCGGACATTTCAAAAAATTCGTCTTCCGTCTCCTCATCACTTTGTACAGTCACTCGAGATGGTTCATTCTTCAGTGGTACATTTCGTTTATTTTTGCCTTCAGTGAGGGTTACTTCAAGTCTAACCACTGTACAACGAAGTTCTCTTATTTCGTCCCTCAACTCAGTGAGCTGAACGACAATATTTTGTTCTTCCTTTCTCACAGCAAGCCATTTCCTTGAAGCAGCCATTCCAGCACCTATCCCTATCCCAATTCCCAAGCCAATGGAGATTCCCACAAGAATATTACGTCCACAAGATGAAAAGAACCCGAAATTATCAAATGACTGCAAAGACGCCATCTTAGTTTCCTTTAGACATTTCCGCTGAAATCACTCCTAAATCGCGGGCTCCAAACATAACATCTCCTTTCATCAGGCGTTTGTCGCTTCATACAGAACTTTCCGCTAACTTTGTGGCGTGTTTAGGACCTTAAAAGGCAATCATTATGCCTTATATCCTGATAAGTTGTCAGATAAGGCTGGTAAGAGCTTCTTTGATAATCCTTGTCCTCAATTACTGTTATTCTAGTTAAAAGCGTCTCTGAGTAGTTTCGTGCATTACCCCAATTAGCCTGTATTGGTAATCACAGATTGTGACCGTGTTTGACATCATTTAGGCAAGTGGGCCCACAACCTGTGGGGACGAATTTTCCGACAGAGAATTGATGGAGTATTTGGGGGCCGAGCTGGTGCACACTTTTGGTAACAACTTGTGAGTATTTTTTGTGAATGTTTTGATCACATATAACTGTGTGGGGGATGGTAGGGAGACAAATGTCGATTGATATCAAAGTTGAATGTTAAATTGGAGGGGAACAGGGAACGAGAATCTTGGAAAGTACGCGCTAGGTAAGATACAGGAGATAGAAGAAGAAAGGTCCAGAGGTTGTAGCTGTATTTTTGGCATGACACAGGAAAGAAATACAAAGATATGGGAGCGTTTGTTTTATTATTACTCTGCAATGATTTCGTCATTGAGGGTGGGAGGCAGCAGTCACCGGAAGTGGACGTGGAAGGAAAGACAGCACGCTTCAAAATTTGATAGATTCCCACGGGCCCTGCTTCCCCCATCTGTTTTCACCTAGACGATATAGTAATCATACTGCTTAATATCACCAAAAAAAATGTTTTATGCTCACATGTTCAGTAAGGAGTACATCAGCACTGATCCACCTCGTGCAGTCCTTAACAGACTGGAAGGTAGAGGATACAAAGTAATAGCAGCAACAGGTGTTGGTCAAACATTAGTCTGGACACTCTACAAGGACGACAACTGTGAGATTGTGGACAAAGGAAAAGCTGACAGGTATATGTAACTTACTGATAAAATAGGTTCAGCTTAAATGTTGTTTGCAGTAATGAACCAGCTAAGAACTAGTAATTTCTTACAAGTATTGCCCATGCATCCCAGCAAAGACAAATTGTCATTGATCAGGTGCTCTTCAGGATAGCTGATTTTAAACTTTTGGGTCTGTTCATTCTCAGTCACAAATCACTGTTAAGGCTTCACAGCAGAAGCACGAGTACATGTTTTTTACTTGGAGGCTTTCAGAACTAATTGAAAAGTATTGCATTAGAGGGATAAGATTTTCCATTTGCTCTTCAAAGTCTTTTCACATGTTCTTTATGTGTAACAAGTGTGGAAATAGTATGAAGACTATGCTTTGATTTTACCATTCCCAGCATATGAGTACAAACAGTGTCTTGTTGAAATGTGTTATGTTTCCTGTACAGACAATTGACATTGTTTCTCATTTGATTCACAATGTAACAGTGAATGATCAATTCCTTTGGGCTGGGGTAATCCCTAATCTGCAGAACACTCAATGCAGATTGCTGAATTCCAAACAAGCATATGTCTGGTTTGCATGTCTAGTTGGCATTGTCTTTTGGTAATTAAAGCTGCACTGGAAATGTAACATTATGTTGATAATCGTTTTTTTGCATTCTGCAAAGTATAGCCACCAGTGTGAATTATCTATAGCATTTTACCCATTGTTTAACAAGCATAATATTTCTCTTTTTTTCTTTTTCTTTTTTCACCAGATAAAATACCTGTCTTCCAATGCATAACTGTTTAATGGAGTGTGAGACTGTACATATTACACAATGACTGAAGTTCTGTACAAGCAGTTAATGAATGATTAATAGCTGATCTTAATTATTTTTCTCTGTAAAATGTCAGTCCCATGAAACCATGAAACACAGGAAATATTGTTAGAGGTTCTTTTGATGACAAGAACTTAAAAAAATGAAATGTTTCTCCTATTATTTATTAGTATATTTAATACTGTAAACCTACTCAAAGAACTTTTTAAGGTGGAATGTTACTCAGTGTTGGTCATCTGTTGCACAACTTTAAGAGGAAATGTATAACTTGTTCCCATTACAGCCATGCAGCCAAGGAAAAAAAGGAAAATATTGTGGCACCTAATCAATTGTTAATAAAATAAAAATTCATATGCAGTCTTCAGAATTATTTAATATTTTAAAATATCTTCTTCCTTTTGACTACTCTTATACATTTTCACATAGCACCATTTTTCAAGAGTTTGATTCCAGCTACTTTCAGTGCAAAGGATTTTTAAGTTTAATGTGACTCAGACATGAAGAGAAGAAGATTTACGGTGTTCTAAATTTCTGTTCAATGTTTCTTCATTTGTTCAAGTTAAGCTAACCATGAGGCTGATTACTGTGCCACATATAGCATAAGGCTGAAAATGAAATCATGGCCTCATGGCTTTTAGCTTATACAGCTATTTATCAAGAAGCTGGAACCGGCTTTCAAGAACTTCCTGCAAGGGGAAGCCCTGTCTTGAATTACCAACTGATCCTTCACTTGGTTGTCAGCGCTTTTCCTCCTCTTCCATTTCTCTGATCAATCGTTTCCTTTCCTCAAACTGGCGAAGTTTCATCAACACTACACTTTCATAATCTCTTTCTGATATGTTGCCATCTGACTGATAAAATTCCTCAGAAACCTGCAGTAATCAGTGACGTAGTATATCTAAGCCTAACTGAGAAGTTAGTCAATCAAGGGTGAATATCAAGACCCCCACCCCTCCTTACCTCAGCCAAACAGTGTATATAAGTAACTTTCAGTAGCAAAGTTTTAAGCAAGAGAGGCATGTCTTGGAGACAAGTACAAATCATTATGACCATTTATGACTGCAAAAACCCTACCTGAAAGATAGTTTCCATAAAGACAAGTCAACTCTCACCATGTATTTATCTGTAGCTTCACCAACATCTCTTGTTGATTTTGAAACCCCTGGGTCAGTTTCTGAACTTGCATCATTTGAAGATGGCTCTCCATCCAACCAGGAGATTTGTAGAGGGTTGTCTGGGATACCATGCTCATTCTCTACTGCAAGTTTCTAAGGTAATTCAAGAATCTACTTACCATATCGCTATTATTAGGTCACTCACATTGCAAATTCAAATAAAAACTTACAAAGAATATCATTCTCAAAAACCAGTTTACAATACTCACTGCACTAGCCATTGATGTGAACTCTGCCACAGCACTTCCCTTTTTATTGGAAGATACAATCACATAACTCACTTCACCATACTACAAAACCAATGTATGGAACAATTAAATTAACCCAGTGTTCTTTCATCCAAAATAAATGAAAGTACATTAACAGTAATTCCTTAAACATCTACTGTCTTGAACAACTTTCAAAGTAAGTACAGTACCTTTTCAAAGAGTGACCTGATCATTTCTTGTGTGTATCCACCATTTGTTAAATCAGATTTCTTGCTTTTCCACCTCACCTGGGCAGGTAAACAAAGTACAGATGCTATTTGATACAGTTTATGTGCATTTATGGTAGGTAAATATTTGTTTTTGTTTTTCTGCCTTATATTGTGGCACTAGATCTTAGACTTGTTGTTATTGCTGGACTTCTCTGAGCTGAAAGTGGTTTTCTTAACGGACAAACATATTCTACCACAAACTGAAGATTACAGTATGTTTATCACAAATTATGTGTAGTTATCCCTACATCATTAACCTTTAATTTCGGAGTGACATCTTGGTAGATTTTACTATCTTTATCACATTCAACTTCTTTCTTTAACTGGTCTCTGAGAAGTTCTTGTTGTTCCTTTAAAAGCTTTGATCCTTCCTCTCTCAACCTATTAATCTGAACAGCAGATATAAAAATGAAACAATTTGTGCTTGATTAAAAGTTTGCTTAAGATAAAAGACCATGAAATGACAATAAAGAAACTCACTTCAGCTTCCAAATTCTTTGCAGCTATTTCATCACTTTCCTTTTCTGTTTTGGCTGCATCCTCCCTTGCTTCAAGATCTGCAATAAAACTCTCAAATTTTACTTTGTACAACACATTTTGTCATACTCCCCTTGATATCAGCTGATAACCATTATAGAAAACACATTTTCCTGCTAACTGCCAAAGAAAACATTGACATGATCTGAAAAAAAGCATTACCGTCAAGTCCCAACTTCTCTAAACAGCTTCTCTATAATTTTTTGGGGAAGGGGAGCAGAACAGGTTATCAAGGAATTGGATTATTCTATGATATAGGTGTCATCATTTTTTAGTTATAAAAAAAAAAAAGAACTCTATATTAGTGTATAGAGAGTGGTATGTTACCTGCACCAATCAGATCATTTGAGATATGTATCTCACTCCAATCCAATAGCCACATTAGGGTATTATCTTGCACCAATCAGAGCATCGGTTTTGTTCTTTAGTTTGAGAGGTGTTCAAATTTCAACAAAGTAATAGGGGATTAAGAGAGAGTGGTTCGTAAAATGGAATCATCCTTTAGAATGCGAAATGTTGGCTTTTCTGTGTTTTTAACATGTATTTTACCATGCTCTACTGCACAGATGAAAGATATCAGATTATCTAAAGTAAATGTGTAACTCATGCTGTGAAAATGGTAGATAGTTGTTCAAGAGAAAGTGGAGTTCTGTGCACTGTAGCATGATTATGGTTATAGTTCCTTCGTAACGAGAGTGAGAGGAAAATTTTTTAGTCAAATGTTGCTTGATGTGTTGATGAGTTGCACCAAACATTTTGATTTGAGCAGTTCTTTGAGCGCAAGCTGTGTTGCAAGATTCATGATTTGTTGAGTGTGCCAATTATATTTTTCTGGATTGGTTTGCTCAGTGCTATCTCTAGATGAATGTCTGATTAAAATTAACTATGGACAATTTTGTGGATCTTTTCAATGCCTGGAGAAAGTGATCTTGTGGAGTCATTTATGTTTGGCCAAGGATGAATTCAGATACCATTGTTAACATGTTTATTTGATTTTGTTATCTGGAATGAATTATTTACGGAGGTAAGTTAATATGATGTGAT